CCCGAGCAACGTGTTGGAGGCCTGAGACGGGCCGCGGGATCCATCGGAGGGTCAGAGATGGGAGACCCATCCTGGCTAACAACAGTGAAGAGCCCCGTCGTGGGTACTACTAAACAAGGAATACGAAACAAACGAGAATTAGCCAGGTCAGGGTTCTTCCTCTGCCCTGTGGCGTGGTGCAGGTGACTGGCGGCTAGTCCCAGGCTAAGCTCCCCGGACGGCGCCGCGCACTCGGGCAGGAGAATGGCGGGCTCCGGAACCCAGGGCAGAGTGAGCTGTTGCAGTGAGCCCGAGTCCGGCTTATTGGTTCACGTGCCACTCCAGCGGCTGGGCGACAGACGTGCAGAACTCCAGCTCAAACAAACGAAAACCGAAGGCCGGGCCTACGGTGCCCTCAAGCCTGTGAGTGCCGCCAGCCACTTGCGGCGTGCGACCGAGTACGGACAGATCGACGAGGTGCAGAGAGATCGACGAGACGCATTGCGCTCCGGCTGTTAAGCACGAGCTGAAAAGGGCCCCGTACAGTTCTATCTGCGAAAAATGAATAAAACATACAAAACTAGGCGCGCCGGGCATGGTGGCGGCGCCGTCTCGTTAGTCCCAGCCTACGCGTCTTCGGCCGCACGGCGCGACGCGACGGAGAATGCCTGCAAACCAGGAGGTGGAGCTGTGCAGTGAGCCGGAGATCGCACCCACTGCGCGACCTCCCGAGCCTGCGGCGGACACGAGGCCAAAAGACTCCTATCTCAAAAAACGGGAAACCGAAAGGGCCAAAGGAAACAAAGCAAGACAAGGAGGAGGAGAGACAGCTCTTAAGGAGTTGTGGCCTGCCGGAGCGGGGGCCAGCCGGCCGGCGGCGCCTCGCTGGTGCTGCGCTGTCGTCACGTTGCGTGTCGCTCCCTCGCCGGTGCGGCCGGTCTGCGGTGATGTGGAGACGGCGAGTAGATAAGAGAGCGGCGTGGGGAGCGGGCAGCGCGCCGGAAGGCGGTGTGGGTGCTGGGGTCTGGTGCTGGGTCGTTCCTGTTCCTGTGAGTGGTGGGGAGTCTGCCGCGCGTGGCGGGGGCGCGCGGGGGGGCGGGTTCGGTCGGCCTCCCCAGCGCGTGCGCCGGCGGGGCTCGTTGGCGAGCTGGCCGCCGTTGGTGTGCGCGCGATTCTCGGTGGGGCTCTCACCGTGCGAAGAGGGAGCGCTCCACCTCCCTTGGGGTTTCAGGAGCCATTCTCCTGCCGCATCGTAGCGGGCGGCTTCCCTCACGCAAAGATACGTCGCTGCGTGGTTGGCAGCTACAGGCGCCCGCCTTTTACACGCTGGCCCTAGTTTTTTTTTTTCTCTATTTTCGCCTTAGTAGAGAGCGGTGCCGGCCGCGTTGTTCACGCGCGAGTTAGCCAGGATTGGTGGTCTCGTATCCTGCTTCTGACCCCTCGGTGATCTGTCCGTATCTGGGCCTCTCCAAAGTGCTGGGAGTAGCTAGGCTTGAGCCACCTGTTGCCCCTGGTGTCCTTTGTTTGTTTTGAGATGGAGTCTCACTCTGTCGCCCCAGGCTGGAGTGCAGTGGGCCCAGTTCTCGGGCTGCACTTGCAAGCCCACATTTTCCTGGTTTCAGGCCATTCGTTCCTCCTTCCAAGCCTCCGGGAGCTAGCCCGGAGCGTCCGACGGCAGCCTACCAACCGAGACAGCCCGGGACTAATATTTTATATTTCTTAGTAGGCACTACGCGCTCCCCTGGGTGCCTCCGGTTCTCACCTGTGTTCAGCCCCATGGGATCCCTGCTCCCCACTTCTCCTGGACTCATGGATCCGCCCGTCTCACCTCCCAAAGTGGCTATGGGGATTATAGGGCGTGAGCCCACCGAGGCCGAAGCCCTTTTTTTTTTTTTGTTGAGACAGTCGTCTGAAAAATAAAAAAAAAAAAACTAGCCGGGCATGGTGGCGGGCGCCTGTAGTCCCAGCTACTTGGGAGGCTGAGGCAGGAGAATGGCCTGAAACCAGGAGGTGGAGCTTGCAGTGAGCCGAGATCGCACCACTGCACTCCAGCCTGGGCGACAGAGCAAGACTCCATCTCAAAAAACGAAACAAAGCAAACAAACAAACAAAAAAAACACTTAAGATGCTCCACGGTTACTTTTTTGACTATTAAACTGTGTTTTCTGAAATTCATGTGATCTTGTTGAGAAACCAACCTACATTATATTCCTAATTGCCAAGCGGAAGCTACAACTACAACAGCTTCTGAGGAGGGGCCTGCTTTTTTTTTTTTCTTTTTCTGGCTAACCATGTGAAACACGTTTCTACTAAAAATCAAAAAATTAGCCGGCGGAGGCGCGGCGCCTGTAGTCCCAGCTACTCGGGAGCTGAGGCAGGAGCAATGGCCGTGAACCCCGGAGGGCGGAGCTTGCAATGAAGCCGAGATCGCCCACTGCACCCAGCTGGGCACTTAAACGAACTCTGTCTCCAAAAAAAAAAAAAAAAAAATACAAAAAACTAGCCGACGACGTGGCGGCGCCCTGTAGTCCAGCTACTCGGAGGCTGCAGGCAGGAAATGGCGTGAACCGAGGCGGAGCTTGCATGAGCCGAGATCCGCCACTGCACCCAGCCTGGGTGGATGGGCCGACTAAGCGAGACTCTTCTCAAAAAAAAAAAAAAAAAAAATCAAAACACTAGCCGAGCGAGTGG